TAGCAGGGTTTCACCCAGTGACAAACTTTGATGTTTATAGGGCTATACCTATCTTTGTTCTCTCCAACACCCAGCAGACAGCCTGGCAGGTGGGCTGGCAGCCAGGCAGAATGGCAGTAGGCTGGCAGGCTAAGCCCCGGGGCACAATCTCTAGCAGAGCCAACTCTGACCAGCTGGTCCAGGCTAACACTGCACAGTGAGTATGTACCACCAAATCAGAGGGGAGGTAGATGTTAGCCATGAAACAGACAACCTCTCACCAAGAGCCTGACACCTACTGCAGAAGACCTGTCCTGGTGGGATTCAGGTGAGAACACGGTATCTTGCTTGTGATTTGACAGGTTTTCCGTGATGTTTGCAAGTATTCATCCTGGCGTAACCCTGCTTTGCCCTGCAGGCTGGGGCCATATCTGCTGTCCGCACCCATCCACGGCATCATAACTCTATCTGAGCTCTTGGTGGCCGAGGAGGAGATAGAGAGTCTCAGTCCTCAAACACTGCCCAGCTGCTTAGGTAGCTTAGAGCTGTTTAGAGGACCCAATCTTAGATTTAAAGATTTAAACAAGGATGGACAGGCAGGAAAAGCCGTTTTAAGAATCCAGTTGTCCAGCGTGATGACTGTTCTCTTTTTAGCATGAACCCATAGTTACATAAAAAATGTCCCCATAGTACATCAAAAATATACACCTTGATGCAAGTGATCTTATCCAAGTGGTTCCATCCCATGCATCTCTCCGCCATCTCCACGTCTGACGGTTAAAAGGCTTACACACACACAGTGAAAGAGCAGGCAGCTCTTTGTGCGTCTTAAAGCGCTAACTAGGCCACTTAGCACCCTGTGACGCTGATCTGATCCCCGAGGCGCTGAACTTGGCAGCGAGCCTTCCTTCTTTTGCTCCTTCCTCTCCCCTCGCCATGGGAACCAGGCCATCCTTAATGACACAGGAGGGCTCTGCCGGATCCCACAATGTGAAGGGGGCTAACATCTGTCTTAGCTAAGTGGTGCACTCTGTTCTGCACCTTGTTTGTTCAATCAGGGACCATCATTTCTTCTTGTGCAACTTCCTTCTCCTTTCTCTGCATTGACCCCCACCCCCCTCCCCCAACAGGCACACAAATAAAGCTCACATTAGAGGTGAACTCGCCATTGTCTTCTTTGCATCATCATTGCAGACAAATAGGCTAGAGAGTGATTGCTAATTCAGTTCTCCATTACTGGGATATTATTCACAGCACTGCCACTGTGAGAAATGAGACCTGAGGGGGAAGAAATCCCTGCAACCTCTCATCCTTCTGCATATTTAGAAGACATACAAGTGCCTGATTAAAAGAGGCCTCTAATTCTTCACCGTTAAGACCTGGGCAAATATTTGCCCCATCAATCTTGGAAAATATAGCCATCAACCCGAGATGGTAATCACATGCTAATGGAATCTACAGGAGTCAATGTGAACCCCCTGTAGCGCACTGAATGCTTTCGCTTTCTCAGAAAACCCACGTGAATGCAAATGGCCATCCAAAGCCGCTATTCTGACAGTGTGCCAAGGCAACCTAAAGAGGCTCATTCTTTATGTTCCTCTGGGAATGTATGTTGGGATGTGTGGGATGAGTTCACGTTACCAGACCCAGGTGCCAGGATATAAATGAATAATAGGTTTTATGGGCCTTAACTGGAAAAAAAAAGCGCTTATACACACATATAATCACACATGCGTGCCTGCTCGAGTGCATCTGTGGTGAAGGATGTTCAAATTCCCACAACCACTCTGAAAGACATCGGGCATGAGAATAGGTGGCGCCTATACATAATTCAGGAGTCCATGCTGAAACAATTATGTTTACTTACTGCTAAGTACCCGTGATCAACATCTTCTTTGCTCCAGTCTGGTGCTTTCAGATGTGAGTGCTGTGTGCAAAAAGTTGGTGGAACATGGCTTTTCAATAAAATATACAGGCTGACACTTGAATGCTTTAATATGAGAGTGAAGCTGGGGGAGGGAGGTTCAAAAACAACAAATGCTTTTTGTGTTTTCACTGGCATGCAAAATAAATTGCACTTGTAAACCTAACAGCAGCAATGGGTGGAAACCAATTAGCACGACTAAGCAAGAGGTAAGTGGTTGAAGAGGACATTGTAATGACATCATTACACATCTCACATTATTTCACATTATATTAATCTAAACACACTTTTAAAGTGCAGTGGGAAATGGGTTCAGAATGGTTAGCGGCATCAAGGTCCAGTTAAGCCCAAAATGTCTGGTTCATAATTATTTTCATTAAACTAAGTAGGTTGTTTTCAAGAGATTAAATGTGTCTCAGTTTTTTTTTAAAATTTTTTTAAGTTAATTACTATAGGATCTAGTGGTATTTATTTTGGGGATTTTCCATAATTCTGCAAACAGGAAATGGGATTAAAGAAAGGTGGAAGACATGCGGAAAAGGTCACCAGGTCAAGACTTAAACCTGTCCAGAACTGAAGCTTCTGCACATGGGTTGCCACCGCTGCACCAATTTTTCTCAGATTTTAATCTATTCAAAACATTTTTTTATTACTATTAATATAGAAAATCGGAATTAGCAATCAAACCCTTCAAGTAACAGCCAGGTAGCTGTCTGCCTTTTTCAAGTGGGGTTTGATAGTTTGGTGACAAGCTCCAAGTCAAAGTTGGAAGACCTCTGTGCCATCAACCTAATCTTTAGGTCCTGCTACAGATTCTATGTCAGATTAAAGCAAGGGCTCTGGCTGGGCTCCTCTAAAAAACTCAAATTTATTTCCAGTCAGAAAAATTAAAGCTTACATCAAACAAAAATCTGCTATGAGTATAAATCATTTCTGGCTTAAACGTAAACTAAGAAAAAAAAAACGTTTCACTAACATTTTTCCCTTGAACAGTTCCCACCGTTTAAAGATTCTTTAAGTGATGCCAGAGAAAATGTTGGAAGTTGGACGCCTCACAGAACAACCCAGTGCTGTTCCTTCCCAGCAGCACACTGGGTCAGACGAAGAAAGCTACTTCAGTTCAGGTCTTCTTGACTTTTCAGCAGCAGGGAAACATTTCTAGTTGTCATTATGTTGACTCTGTATGGTCGCCCATCACTCTGTGAAAGGTACTGTAGCACTGATTTACTGTTAGTTTTCAAGCTAATGTGACTGACTAATTAACTACCTATTATCAACTTATTATTGTTACTTCATAAAGAGAAGAATAGCAAAATTGTATAACTTTTGCACAAAAAGTACTTCAACATATTGTAAATTTTTACTCAAGCTAATGTATCCAGTACAGAATAAATGCAATAATTAGTATGCCGTTTTTTTTCTGTCACTAGTTTATTTAGAATCTATTTTACCATGGTGTCCTGGCCAAAATGGCAACAGGTCAAAGCATTGATACAATTCAACACACATTTTACCAACTGTAAAACACACAAGGTCCTTCTAAAAAAAACTGTGTCTAATTAGTTGTGCATCAATCCAGCCAAACAAAATGACAGACCAAAAACTGGACAATTTTAAAATGAAGGTATGCCAGTAGTTCAAGGTATCAACATAGCAGATTAAACAAAAACAATTATGCAGCATATGAGGATTTTGAGTTTTGTAGTCTGTGTTTCGTAGCCAACAGTCTAGAGCCTTAAAGGTATAGTGGAGGATTTTCACAAATTTATAAGAAAAAAGGCACATGCTCAACCCTGTACCCACTCCCACTCCTCTATTAAACGCGTGCGAGAGCGTATACAAGCCCATTTCTCCTCATGCATGCTCTGTTTTAAAGTTGCTGTTTGCATCGCACATACAAGCTTACTTTCCAAAAGAAGCTGAGCAATTTTTCCACTATGTCAGACTCACTATGGGTAAGTGAAAATGGGGACGAGCACGTAGGACGGCCTTACGTAAACATATCACCAGAATGATTGACAATTAGGAGGACCACTTATTTTGATGAAAAGAACATCCTCCACCTTAAAGTTTGAACATCTTAATGGAATTTCTAATATTCAATATTCCCTATTAAAAATCTCTGGGGTCTGGTGGAAAATAAATCAGTCACAGATTAGAAATCTTAGCTTCATTTTAGTTTAATCTTAACTTCAGTTAGTTTTACCAACTTGTGTTTGAGACTTTAAGTAAAATATTTATCAAGGTTTCTTGGTATTTGTATTCAGAGACAATTGACACCTTCACATGTTGAGTGAGTTGATGAGAGTTGGGGCAGATGGATGATTCAAAGACATTGAAATAGCAAATATCTAGCATTGAGATAAACTGCATAAAGACAAAACAGAATTAATAACAATTTATGATAATATTTTTGATTTTTAATTATCATCTTAAAGAAGGTTAATCTTTCTATGGTAGAAGTTGGTTAAGATAATTTGAGACATAAAGGGAATAAAAGCTTCTCAAGCACTGATCCCTGGAGGACACCTTTGGCTATACTATAACGTCGCAAAGGGATTTCTGTTGAAAAAATATATATAGGGACAATCTATCAATCATTGCTGAGAAGCTTGGGCAGATCATGGGAAAAAGCTGAATGCTGTTCTCTGCCTAGATCTTTAATAAGATTATTTGATTACTTTTGAAGTTGATTGCATATTTTGTTCTTTACAAAACCAATTGAAAAAAATATGCATAACTTAGAATATTGTTCCTTTTCTGTTAAACATAAAACATATATAAGTATACAGCCATCTTGTTATTACAAAAGCTTATAACACTGTTCATACCTCATTTAAACATCTTATTCATTTTAAAACAAAAACTGCATGACCAAAGTAGGCCATTTGTCAACACCAAGACCTTTCACTCTGAATAAGACATTCAGACTTTTCTAAAGAAAACACGTAGCTTCACATAAAATGTGAACCTAAATATCACAGGTTTTGATTCACAGTTGATGAAATACAAACCCCACATGAACAACAGTTATCTGGTGTCATTATCAGTAAAACCAGGGATCAGTATATTGTCTGTTTGACTCTCTGGGACCCAGTTACAGGTGAGTGTTAGCAGCAGCTTCAGTGCTTCTCTCTTCCCGGCCCGTTTCACATTTGCACTCCTCCACCAGCAGCACTCTCTTCTCCCGGACTTTGGCTCCGCAGCGCAGAGGCACAGTGACAGTCTGAGCTTTGAAAGGGGCACAGCGGGAGCAGGGGGCCCGTCGGCGGAAGGCCCCCGTACCGGGGCTCAGATCAGCAAACTCCCCCTCGGATGGGACAAAGAGGGAGCTGCACTGGCCGAAGCACAGCTTGTTGTGAACTGTCACTGTTTGGCAACCATCTGCCGTCACATGCTGGGCAGAGGACAGAGATAAACACAGCACAGGCTTTATTAATAAAACACACACTGCTGAAAAGGTGACTCTTCATCTCAAAGTATTTGTTTCTGCATAAAGATTTAAAATGAAAGCCTTTGGATCCAGGCTCATATCAATATCAAGGTTATTTATATTCAAACATTAAAACTTATGTTTGGATTGTTTTAATTCACAGGCTCTGCCACATCAGATAGATCCATTTATTTCCATAGTTTTATTTCTTTATTTCCAATGATTTATAGAGACCCAGATTGAGTTACTTAATCCTCTTCAAGCGGCAGCTTTTCCTGTTGTTTCTGAAAAAGAAAATCCACCACATTTTTTTCCTCCACTTAACTTTTCATCTATAATTTTGCACCTAAGTTTTTGACTTTTGCCACACATTTAAATTTTGTAATGCTAACAGCCCTTTCCTTAAAAAACAGCAATCTGTCTGTGGTCATTTTGATTTCAGTCGTGTTGGTTAACTTAATTCTACCATATTTTTAATTAAGTACATTTGCTATAGATATAGGGTGAATAATATTTGACCTCTTCTTACTAACTTTTACCTCTTAGCCCTTTGTTTAGAAGAAGGAAGGTTGCTCCTGTGTTGAAGTTTTTTGGTTTATTTATTTGTTGTTGTTTTTTGGAGCGGGTGGTTGACTAAGGGAAATAATCATGTAGTCCTCAAGGTCAATCAATCAATTAATCAAACAAAAACTGCGCTTTAGGGGAAACAAAAGGGTTGCAGCGGCACTTGTTTAATTTGAAATGTCTCAATACACTATGTTTGATTTTACTAGTAATTATTATGATTAATAACACAGATTTATTTGCTTATAGTATTTGATCTGAATAAAACAGCGTCAGAAATGTGTGGTTTAAAGGTTTGTGGAGGTTTTAAGATGTTCATTAGTCTCAAAAAGTAAAAAAAAATCCAAAAGATAGATCAGCATTACTTTTTTGGAAGCACAGGTCTAAAAGAGCAAGAACAAACAGAAGAAATATTATTCTGATTTATTTATCCAGTAAACCCTTCCGCTCCTTCTTTAGGAGCGTAAAAAGATGTATGATGAAAGATTAACAATTGTCACACAACACATGGTAGTTAAATAAAAACTACCGTATTTTCACGACCATAAGGCGCACCGTACTAAAAGGCACAGTCTCAGTTATGTGTGCCATTTCTGTATTTAACACACACATAAGGCGCACCGGACTATAGGGCACGTTTTTTATATACCGGTACATGTCCTCTACTACCTTTAAATACCTCTACTGCGTATTTAAAAATAGAGCGGGAGCAAAACTGAGTATGATTGTGCTTGTGGTATAAGAATTTCTAACCCTCTCCTGCTTTAGACAATCACTGCATCAATAAAACTGAATCTAATCTGGTTTCATCATCTATCAGCAGTTTTGTTTTAATATTAGGATTATCTTATGGGGAAACTACTTTTTTTAATGCTCTTTTTTTTAGTAATGGAAAAAAATGTTTTTTGATGCAGAAAGTCTGAATAAGACAGAATTAGCTCTGCTCTATGCAGCCCCATGTGGACAGCCTACAAATTTAGTTCATTTTTGTGGCTTCTGTGGCTTTTATAGGGTGTATTACTTGTCTGCAGACCAAATTTCACTTTATAATTTCTAATACTGTAACTGAATTCAGGGTGTTCTTCAGCTGCAAGCCAAAGTAATCTATATAATGAAGACAACTATTTTTTTAAGTACCTTATATGGAAAACAAAATACAAGAGCAGACCACTGAAAGTGTTATTTTAAAAAAATGTTCTTCTTACCTGAGTGAAAGGCACCGCAGTGCAGGTCTGCTTCGGATCCTTCAGGTTAACAGGTAGCGACACCTTTCCTCCTTTATTCATGACCCTCTGCCACATCTGCAGTCCTTGTTTCTTCTTCAGATCTGTCTCCAAAGGCCTTTTAGGACGCAGTTGGTGTAGTGGACTTACAGCTTCCTTGGGGGCTTTGGCAGGACCAGGACGCCCCCGAGACAGAAAGGCAGGGAAGGGCGATCTGGAAGCATGGGAAGGAGTTCCTCTGTGAGCAAAGCCTCTCCTGAAGAACCCCGAATTCACTAGGTTACGAGGGTCCAGCTGGACAACCTTCACTACTCCCTGGATAGCTTGGTCAACCTCAGCACCTGAAGATTCAAATTCATCTTTGGACTCCCTCAAACGAATATTGTAGGGAAACATAAGAGCTGAAGCTGTCCAGGTGGACATAATGACCAGGCTGCTGAGGAAAGCTATGGTCTGGCAAACATACATTGTTTAAAGAGTTAATGAGGCGATTAAAATAGAAAAATATCACTTAAAACTTTTGAATTAAATAAAACTTTAACAAACAAAACCAAATCTCAATATAGGAAATCGGTCGTTGGGTTGATGATGGTCCAAGGCTCCAAACGGCAGCCTTGCTGTCAGTGCTGTGCCGCTGGGGTGCAGGAAGCCTCCTTATGTAGGCGCCTGCAGCTTCTCACCTGCTTTTCAATGCAGGAAAGGTGTCGCAATTCCCACGCCGGAACAGACGTCGCACCAAGCTTCCACCTCTGGGCTGTGGTTACCACACAGAGAGGGCTGCTGTTTCAAGGTAAGTGTTAAAAAGAGCATCATAAAAAATGTCTGAACAGGGATTCAGGTGAGTGAAATTCAAAATGAAGAGACATGGACTGATTCTATAGATTCTAGTTTTTTATTTTAAGTTATCCAAACAAATTTAAACCACTGGATCAGAACATCAGCATTTCAGTAAATGTAAATATGTACAGAATCAAACCAACTCACTGAAATACTGTGAGTCGCAGGTGAGGCTGAAAATTTCTCCTTGTTGCTGAAAACGTCCAGTAAAGCTAATACTAATGTGCATGACCCTATTAAAATCTTGGGTTTGGTGATGTAAAATAACACAACTGTGAACAAAATGTTTCACTTCTAACTTGATGCATAGTCTTAGAATTTATGTTAAAATCTTAAATAAATTTTCTGTATTCTTCAGATGACTCTACACATTCAGTCACTATCAGTTCTGCATGGATTAGCCAGTTCAGAACTTGATTTTTTTTCTTCTGGTGAATCCTTTCTATTGTAGATCTGGATGTCAACTTGAACTTACCTTAATGTTTATAGTCTGAATATGGTCTTAGGTTCATTATCAACTTAGCAGCACTCTGAGTTGTTTCTAATTTTCTCTACTTCAACTAAAACAAAGTTTGTTTTGTCTATTTACCCTTTTTGGAGAAACACAACTTCTGTTCCTTCCATAGTTCCCATATTTTTTCACTTCATGATAATTATCTTTATCCCTTTAAAGCCCGATCCAAGAATAAAACAGAACAGAAAATAACTTTTTTTGGGTTTTAAGTCCTTATTTGGCCTTTTGACAAAATATGT